ACGCACGCACGCACGCACGCACGCACGCACGCACGCACGCACGCACGCACGCACGCACGCACCCACACACACACAAACAAACAAACAAACAAACACCCGCACGCGCACCACGCGCACTAGCACGCACACGAGCACGCGCACGCGCTCACGCACGCACATGCACACGCACCCACACACACACACACACTTAAACTCCAAATGGAGGGTTCTCATCTTTCGAGGACAACTGATGAGTCTCGAGTACAACTGATGAGTCTCGAGTACAACTGATAAGTCTCGAGTATGTTGAGTTTCGGCTCGCAAGACGCTTGGCTTCCGCGGGCAAAGAGGGGACCTTGTTGGGGGGAGTCCTCTGGCTGCCCACGACGCCAAGAGCGACTCGATGCAGGTACATAGCTGAGCGTCCCCAGCCACCTCCCTTCCAGTGACCTAGCTTCGTTGGACCAGGTCAGTCACTGGAAGCCTGATCCCCCTGCATGAGAAATTGTGTTGGCAGGGTATTCTGCCACTCCGCACACACACACCCCTCAGTGAGGGGCGACAATCCTCTTTTTTCAAACGGAAGATCACTCGCTCAACTCCTTAACGTCTACCAAAATATCCACAGCGGCGGGGCGAACGAGAAACTGCACGTTGCCGCTCAGAAGACGGGGACGAAGGATCTCCAAGTTGAGCAAGACGTGTGCCGCCATAGAAGACAGGCGGAAGATGCAAAGATGACGAATGTGCACCGTCGACCTGGATGATGTCCGAATTTTGTACGTCAGCAAGTGGCTGATCCGGAGCATGATGAGTGGAGAAAGACTCATAGCGGGACAATATCCGTTGATAACCTTGATGTTGCCAGTCACGAATTGTCCATGCTTGACCTGATTCGTCTGGATCGGATACCCGTTTCCACTCTGGCACTGCCTCTTCTGGGCGCCACATCTGAGCTTGTCCCGGAGTGTAGATCCGCACCCACTCCTGACCTTGCCAGACGGAATATTCGAGCCATGGGTGCTGCTCGTCGATCTGAGCCGAGTTGCATCATCTGTGTCCATGTCGAAGTGAAAGACAGGGCGTACCACAGGTTCCGATCCAGCTGGAAGGAAAACAGTCACCATGCACAACCATGCCCAACCATGCACAACCAACATGCAAACATGAAAGCAAGAGCATGTGACAGCACCCTTTTGTGCCACGACCAAAACGCATTAATCTAATCCGCACCTAGCTCGAAGATAGGCTTCTCCTTGTTGGTAGAGCTGCATGGTTGGGTTGCAGGCAGATATGGATCAGCGACCCCAATAGACTCAGGTGGCGCAACGCCTCGAGAAGCACGTACCGGCTGGTGCTGGTGGGAATCATGACGTGTGCGATCCGACAGCTGCTGACAGATCCCTGCCTGAATGCGAGTGAGATCCTCAGTAGAGAAAGCCGAAGCATCCGAAGAACGAAGAATCGCCTCCAACATCTGCGGAGACAGGCACAAAGCCGATGACTGCGTGGCCACGTTATGTTGATCAGGAGAAGCCACCGAATGAAAACCGACATCAGGTTGAGGAGCTGCAACTTGTCGGTAACCTTCCGTGGTCCAGTCCCTCTTGTACCAAGCGCTGCTGGTATGTTGAACGCCGTCTTGCGCATGATCAGGTGTATAGAAGTCCTTCCATTCCCTGTACGTATGACGTGGAGGAGGATCACCACGTTCGTCTTGTGGTGTCCATGATCCTGGATGAAAAACCTTAACCCATTGAGCGTCAGTTCGCTGAGCGTCAGGACGCCATTCTAGCCACGGCATGATGATTGTCAAAGGTATATACGGCTGCAAGGTACATCCATGATCCAAGGCAAGCAATCAAAGGGCCGCAGGCAATGCACTCAAGACGCAAAACTCAACAAGCGCAATGTTTTAAACAACATTCAGCCCAAGCATCAATCTGACTCGTTCCAGTCAAAATTAGGATCATAACTCGGCGGGGGAGAAGGTTCACGCCACGCGCCATCAGGAACTGAAGACGCCGATGAGGACGACACTCCATCAGACACGAAATCTGTAGATCCAATGTATGGACGTGGGTCACCAAGGCGTTGATATCCACGCGTGTGCCAATCACGGAATTGACATTCGGATCCGCAGGAGACGGGTGTGACATTCGGATCCGCAGCGGTGCCTCCTGTGCTATCACGGGGCAAGTACACGTCAAAGTGGTAGACCCTGCGCCATTCACGATACGTGGAAGCGCTGTCCGGAGTTGGGCCCAAGGTGGATTCCACATGCCCGGTGTGTAGACCCGGATCCATTCCGGGCCGCGCTCAATGTTGTACTCAAAGTAGCGCGGCAACATAACAACCGGATGCGTCACTATGAAGCAGAGGTCATAGTAGCCGGGCAAGATTGTCCTCGGGGCGAAGAAGTAGTCGAGGTCCGCAATGAAGGCATAAACTGCGGGTGAAGAATCTTCGGTGGTGGTGGTGGAGGTGGAGGTGGAGGAGGTAGTCCCAACTGTGGCGGAGGTGGTGGTGGTAGCATCATTCGCAATAGCCTTTCTTCTTGAACTCCGGTTAGGCGATCATGAAGTGAGGGTCCGTGATACTGCAACCAAGTCGGCTGCACTCCATGGGTCCAGGTTATGAATGTCCATTTTGTTCCATCATGACAGCAATGGAAAAGGCCGATAATGGTGGAATGATCAAATCAGTAGCAAACCCAGGCTGCGGACGCATCAAGATTGGAAGCAACCAAGCAAGCAACAAGGCGCATCAATCAACAAGCATGCAATAACACGGCAAGTTTTTTGGAAGAGAAGCGTCATGATGGATACCACGAAAACAGTTGGCACAAACCGCGTAGTGGTAGTGCAAGGGAATTGTAATTGAGCAAAATGCCGAAGGTCTTCACCAGAACATCCCCACGTAGCTCGGAACCGCAATGGATGATCGAAGCTTCCACCTGCCGTCTTTGGCGTGAATGCAATCACAGTAATGGGAAGCAGCAATGTCGGCATACGTGCCACCGCGCGGAATGGAGCAGTGGGATTGGCGCAGTCGCGCTGCTCCCCCAATGCAAATGGGCCGATTAGAACGCACTCCGGCGAACTGGGCGGCCGCTTTCACCGCAACTTCCTGAGAGACTAGGCTGCCTCTGCAATAGAAGCCCATTGGAGGAATCCACACTTGGTTCCAATTGGTGTATTCGGGATTGGGAGGCGGCTGCATCAGCCATTTCGAAGGCCGGATCAGCTCCTCATCTTTCAGGATGGCGATGGCAGCGTGGATGTTCGTGTTGCGCGCCCAGAAGAACGGCGAGATCAACTGAGATCGACGGTTGCCCGGTAGTTGGCGACGTGGTTCAAAGAGGAAGAGGATTGTACGGCCAACACTTCTCACAGACGCCTAGCTGCACAATGAGTTGCTCGGGTAACGAGTCCACGGAGACCTTGAACTCCCGCGAGATCTCGTTGATGACCTGGCGGTCCAGGAACCTGGGTCGCCGTGCGGTGGATGCATATCCGGCAGTTCGGAGACAGACCGTGCTCGCTGCTGATCCTGTATAATGCTGTCACGGTGCGGCATGAGGCTCTTGTAGATTGTTTCCCAGGATTTCTTCCACTTGGCTGGCTCAGGAAAGACTAGTTCCGCAATGCAGGGAAGCGTGTAGTACGGGACGTCATCGATCATGATGGCAATTTCCTCAATCCGACTGCCTGAGCGAAGCAAAAAGCGATGACTGCCCAAGGAAGGCACAGGGTTGCGAAGCAAGTCCACCTTGTCGGTTGCCATTTGGCGCGCAGGCGGGCCGGATGGTGATCGGGGCCGTCTCCGATCATCATGGGTACGAAGGCCCGTCCGTGTCCATTCACCCCAGTCATCATCCTCTTCTGGCGTGAGCCTAATTCGGGATAAGGGTGACCGGGACCGCTGCGTGGTTGCTTGGTCCCGCATTGCCTGCAGGCTGCGTGAGGAACTGTGCGAGGAACTGTGTGCTTCAACGTTGCGTAGGTGCACCAGGCCATGCGTCTGGACAAAAAGTTGAACCTCATTGCCGTTGATGAAATTCGGAAACTGGCTGGTGGTCTGCACCGTACCGTCCGGGCGCAGAAGGCTGCTGACCACATACTCCGCCATGTTCAGGGCAAGAAAGTGTCGCAATGCCAGAAACACCGGATCCGAGCCAACTACGTACATGCATGCACAACCTGGCAAGGTGTCAATCAAAGATGCAAAAGTGCAGCAAAAGCAAGGAAAC